CACGACTATCCTTTCCAAGGTCTTGTGGAAGTAGAAATACTCCAGTCGCTTAATACTATAGAAACCGGGGTTTTCTCCAACAACAAACAATTTCAACTTTATTCAGTCATACATTTACAGTCTTACAAAAATATATGTAAATAGAAGGACAGAAAATTAATGTACAATGAGTCTGGAGACTGAAGTAACCCAAACGTTTTCTAGTCTGTCTCCAGTTATTGTAAGGTTTCTAAAGATATTGAGAGAATACAGAATTCTTAGAGAAGAGATTTGTACATGGTATAATAGAATGGAGTAAATCTATTTCACTCAGATAGATGTGGATCGCTCCGGCGATATGGACCACTTGACCGTGACACAGACTTTACCTTATCACCTTTAAAATGGCAGGCAATATTATTTTCCTTCGTATTAATAAATATTGCTGTGGGAGGCGCGGTAGCCTCATGGCCGTGCGCTCGTTCCCGGAGAGAGAGGTCCGGGTTTGAGCCCTGGCCGGAGACACTGTGTTGTGTTCTTGGGCAAGACGCTTTACTCTCACAGTGCCTCTCTCCGCCCAGGAGTTAAATGGATACCGGCGAATTGTTGGGAAAACCTAACAAATTGCGGGGGAGTGACATGCGATGGACTAGCATCCCGTCCAGGGGGAGTAGAAATACTCCTAGCCGCTTCCTACCACAGAAACCGGGATAAGCTCCGGCAGCTATGAGCCATTTGGCTCCGAGGCTTCACTTTATTATTTATTTATTAATAAATATTGCATATTTTCTCTGTACTTGAACCTGGCCTTTCGTAGTTTTCGATCTTGGTCGGTTTATAGTCTTTGAACTGATATGTGACATAGTTCGGCTTTGCTTAGTCACGACCCGCTGTCAGCTTTGTGGTAAAGGATATTTCAATCATGTCTGGCAACTTTGACAAGTGTGGCCACTGTACTTAATAAGGTTTTTATGAGTTCAGTTTTGCCTTTAAGTTAGCTTACGTTGGATTTCAATCACAGTTGACATCCGCTCAATTTTGGTTTTGTCGTGAGAGATTATTCGGTCACTGTTAAAATTTGAAAAAGATGCTACGATGGCGTTGAAAAGTCAGTCAATTTTTCCGCTTATTTCTGTTCAAAAGTTAAGTTTTTTTTTCAAAGGAACTGACTTGTAAGTTCGATACAAAGAAGCACTATTTAGAAGATGAGTATAAAGTAGATTCATGAATTGATGTTTAAGCTTTGTTTCCGTCTCTTTTGAACGTTTAAGAGGGTAGCTTTGCCCGTCTTAAGGATAAACTTCACTTGGTATACTGTGAACTTCTACCTGATTCCCTCCCCCCCTTAACTATATGCATCGAACTTTCCAATGACAGTTACTTCCAACCCCATTGACAGTCCCATATCGATATTTAGGTTGCTAGACTATAACATCCCAGTTATTTAGAGCTGACTTGTTTGTCGCACTGGGAGAAGGGTGAGTATTTTGTCTTATTTTGGACCAGAACACAGAATATTCATGCTTATACGATAAGGTCTACTGAAGAGTAACGACTGATCCCCCGGTATTGAGCAGGTTGCCAGTAAATCTTGCTAATAGCGACCTCTGAAAACTCTGTACGTATGTTATGTCGGAAGGAGGCTCCCCAATCGCTCAGAATGCCATATAATATCAACTGAGACAACACAACTGATTTTGATACAAAAATAGACTATGTAGAGACTAGGCTGCAAAGGACAAAAACTGTGTCATTTGATTTTTTAACAGTCACGTAATATACTCTATTTATTGCGTGTATACGGTGTTTTGTAGTTACTTTTATGTCTGCCACAACTTAACTAGACAAGACAACAAGACAACAACTAAGGGTAAACATTTTAGCTACGGTAAATATCCTTGGCAAATGCTTAAGGAAAAGGCGCTAACAAACAAAGTAGCGAAGCTCTGTACCTTAGGAACAATAATGGTAGCTCGGTTGTATGAACGATTAAACACTAGACCCTACCCGACCGTTGAAATGATTTCTATTGCGACCTTTATCCTCTAGTCATGGTGTCGCCCATGACTGCGCGAGTTTCTATTTAGTATGAACCAGTTTGGTAAACCGCTAAAACTTGTAAACATTAGTGCCTGGAGATTCCTGTGAACTTGGAATACCTTAAGGTAGATTATCTTTATTACTGGGGTGGAAATCATTCGAAGTTTTTCGCTTAAACACTTTTTCACAATTTGTCTGTGGCCTCCGAAGATACCTTGCTTCACAAACGAAACATCTGCGTGAAAATTATGATAACATGTACAACCATCAATCTAGCTGTTACCATACTGACACCAATGACTGAATAAATGTTTAACAACTTGACTGCCGCATGAGAGCTTTTCTTTAGTAACAACAACTTTGCATAGAGTTGACAAAGTTAGGCTATTAAAACTTCGCACCACTTGAAGTCACTGCGGGGTAAGAGTTGTTGATTGCTAATTTTTCAAAATGAATATGTATTCTACTTCATGAAATATCCGATTCCTTCCACGGTGTTAGTAATCACCTCTTGTCACCAGCCAAATTCGCGCATATTATAAAAACAAAGGCATAAATAATAAGACTGAACGGAAAAATCTCCGACGACATGTGAGTTTGCATGATTTAAGCTTCAGAAATCGAGTCTTGAGTGAACGATTCGTTAAGGAAGTTTTAATCGCCATACCAAACACAGAATCGTTTTTAAAATTGGTAAGTCTTGCTATTACAATAGAATGTTTCGATTCATTTTCAATTACATTTTGATGCATTTTTAGTTGGGGTCGATGAAATGGCGATGAATATTGGTCACTTGCTGATAAATAAGACCATACTTATGATAAACACTGGTTCACATTCGATGTCATGTTTTTGTTTTCGCCGAACTAAAGCGAATTGATGGAATTCCATTTTTTACCGCTCACAATCTTTGTCCAAAGGTTACCGGTAATTTGTTTGTTATCCTAATTATACGATTATGTAAGATTCCCTGTAATTAGTTGTAAAACAACTGGTTGTTATATTCTAGCTAGCATTTCTTAATCCAAATAACTACTACACGATGTGTGCTCGAGTAATAGATTATTTATCTTAATATGTGTGATATACTCTACTGATTTCCTCAGTTGCTTATGTTGAAAAATTTCGCCCTTCGATGCAACTTTATGGCGTCGACAAATTCCTCAGATTTGCAATAACACTCGAGAGGGGGCAATAAGTTATTGAACAATGAAATTTGACACAATGAGAATAAGTTTAAAAAGCCAAAATTAAGTGCTTGTACTTTTCTCGTTTCATTGCATCGTTCAAAGAAAATCGATTTTTTTTTAACGAAGGGGAGGTAAAATTTAAACCCAACACAGTGTTGTGATACTGACAATTTTCTTATCAATTATAATGCGATAACTGAACCTGTTCCTTACGCTACTTAAGGTGTTTATATTAAATAGCTCAGTTTTTTTTCCCGAAACCAGTACAATTGAGAACACGAAGTTAACAGTTTAGGAAAGTCTGACTGATCGAGAGGTGCGAAGTCAACACGAGAATCCTCGGCGTCACTTGTGGTTTTTTCTGATTGGATAACAAAGAATCGGAAACTAGTCGGCTACATATACGACAATCCCCGAAACTTCTCCGTATTTGATTCTATAGTTTAGTTTGACTTTCTTCACCTAAAAAACATTCCGCCTCGAAATACCGCTCAAGGCACAGAGTTATCAAGGTCTTGTTTTCCAACAAACGATTGCTGGCTTGTGATCGTGAACAACAAAATATGATCTCAATTCGGTTCGCAGCGGGACTTACTTCATAATATATGCTAGTTCAGTGATATTATCTGTGGTTGCCCATAAAACTCTCACTGTGAAATGTTGTACTGAAAAGCTTTTGACATCCTTTCAAACCTCAACACCAATTTATTTTAAAACGTTTTACTACAAATAACGTTTATTCTTATGTCTAGCTGCGAGTTTTTTTTTCGCCTGTGGTTATGATTAAAGCTTATTTTACAAATATATATATTTGTTAGTACTTGAAAACATATGTTACAGCAAAAAGTCGTTTTTTAATTAGCGTTATCTTTTAGAGCTTTTAGTGAGGGACATCTTGTCTCGTGTTTTGTTGTTCGGGCTTTTAAGGTTAATCACATGGTTCCCTTAAACTTAAAAACAAATTCTATTTTTTGATAACCTTGGTTGATAACTAGGGCGGACGGCGAAACTACACGTATTTATCAATGAAAATCAAATAGTTGAAGGTATTATTATCCTTTCAGTCGAGTTTTTTACAGGTAAACAGATATAATTCTAACAATAAAAATCTCCTGCGAGTGCATAACTGTAAGATCGAATATATTCGTCATTAAAAATATCGTTTTATTATCATCACGTGAGTATCTCAGATTCGCAACTCCCACTCTGAGACTCAGATTCACTCTTTTTTTTTCACCTTCTTTACATGTAAGCGTACTCCTCCACATTTCAAAACAACTTCACCACAAGCTACTGAGTAGCCAGCAAATCCATTTATATCAGATAAACCCGGAATAATGGAAAAAAAAAATCATTGAGCTTGTTTTGAACGCTTGCAAAATCTAGCAAACATGGTAAACAATCTTTCGCTAGAACTCAATACTTTCCGTGATGCGTGAAAAACTTTTTTTGTAGTGAGCGTTGATTAATAATTAATTGCTTCAAATGACTGTCAAGATCATTGCTAAAATAAAACGGCCACAGAGCAATTTTTGAAGAGCAATACATTTTTTATCAATTTGCGTGTTTTATAGAAAGCCCTAAGAAGTAAAATTCGTGCTAAAAACTATTTTAAATCCCGTTTGGTTTTCTTTTATCTAAACCGCATTGGAAATATCGACAAGAGAGTCACGAGAGACGGCCCATTCTCTATATAACTTTCAGCGTATAACATACATTGCTCACGTTATTGTTCATGAGTTTCAGAGTCGCAAGCTTATCACTGCCTACCTTTGTTCTCATTTTCTTTAGGTGTGTATGTGTCATTGCTGGTGAAGAGGAGATAAAATGGACGACGAGGCTGGTGACGGGAGAATAACGGTCAGCATTGCGAAGCGCAAACTTGGCGGTGTTGGCTTTGTCACGAGTAGACGCAGCGCGAGTCCGTACCTCGCCGTGTCACACGTTGTCAAGGGAGGAGTAGCGCACGAGACAGGCTTGATTCAGACTGGAGACGTCATTCTCGAAGTGAATGGGAAGTCCTTGGAAAGCGTGCCTTACCACAAGGCATTGGAAATTCTCGACAAAGTTCCCACCGGCGAGGAGATGGTGATACAAGTGCGCGCCAAGGACGGATTCCGAGCGTATCTGGAAACGGCCTTCGATGACAAAGGTGCTGTAAAAACTGTGCGAAAGACGAGAGCAACATCTCCTTCCAAAGCTCTCACGAACATGAACAGCGAGTTGAATGGAGAAGCACACGAGCCAAAAAGCCCCAAAAGGAAGCCAGCTTCGACGAATGGACAAGACACAAGGAAAGAACAGCATGTTGTAAACGAAGTGCTGCCGACCCCAACAATGTCTAATGGCGGACTGGATCATGATACCAGAGCGTGTGAAAGCGGAATACTCAGCGCGTCCAGTGAAATTAAAAAATGTCCGGTGACAAATTTCATATCAAAACCCCAGCAGCCAAAATACGTCAGATTGCAAAACCTGCTTGACGGCCGGTACACGACTGACACACTTCATCAAAAGGCCATAGTCGTAAGTTAGAAATTTCTTGTTATTACTAATGATTTGCGTCTATGCAACTAATCTTTTTGGTTTAAAAAAGTTGGTAATGAGGTCAAATGTTTTACCAACAGCTCGAAGCAGGACAAACGGATGGATTTCTCACCATGGTTCGGACGTCACTGGCTTTGGCACTGAAGGGATTTGATGCGCGTCAAAGTTAGAAAAAAATGTGACGCAAGTCAAAGCACCTTTACCACATCTTTGATAAACGTGAAAGGTGTACTACCTTTGACCAAAATCAAAAAAGGCCTTTACCAGATTTGATTTACAGTTAAATTAATCCAAGATCACTCGAATCATGGTGCATCAAAGGAACCGAAGAATCCTTACCCAGAGTGGACTTTTCGACCTCATGATCCTATTGATCTTGGATTAATCTGTTTTGTAAAGAAACGCAAAATCCGTTTTTATGATCTTGGATTTTCCCAAAGAAATGCACCCTAGGTCAAAGGTAGATGCGAAGGGCGATTTTTCGTGCAGTGCGCCTACTAAACTTCACTANGCAGCTATGAGCCATTTGGCTCCGAGGCTTCACTTTATTATTTATTTATTAATAAATATTGCATATTTTCTCTGTACTTGAACCTGGCCTTTCGTAGTTTTCGATCTTGGTCGGTTTATAGTCTTTGAACTGATATGTGACATAGTTCGGCTTTGCTTAGTCACGACCCGCTGTCAGCTTTGTGGTAAAGGATATTTCAATCATGTCTGGCAACTTTGACAAGTGTGGCCACTGTACTTAATAAGGTTTTTATGAGTTCAGTTTTGCCTTTAAGTTAGCTTACGTTGGATTTCAATCACAGTTGACATCCGCTCAATTTTGGTTTTGTCGTGAGAGATTATTCGGTCACTGTTAAAATTTGAAAAAGATGCTACGATGGCGTTGAAAAGTCAGTCAATTTTTCCGCTTATTTCTGTTCAAAAGTTAAGTTTTTTTTTCAAAGGAACTGACTTGTAAGTTCGATACAAAGAAGCACTATTTAGAAGATGAGTATAAAGTAGATTCATGAATTGATGTTTAAGCTTTGTTTCCGTCTCTTTTGAACGTTTAAGAGGGTAGCTTTGCCCGTCTTAAGGATAAACTTCACTTGGTATACTGTGAACTTCTACCTGATTCCCTCCCCCCCTTAACTATATGCATCGAACTTTCCAATGACAGTTACTTCCAACCCCATTGACAGTCCCATATCGATATTTAGGTTGCTAGACTATAACATCCCAGTTATTTAGAGCTGACTTGTTTGTCGCACTGGGAGAAGGGTGAGTATTTTGTCTTATTTTGGACCAAAACACAGAATATTCATGCTTATACGATAAGGTCTACTGAAGAGTAACGACTGATCCCCCGGTATTGAGCAGGTTGCCAGTAAATCTTGCTAATAGCGACCTCTGAAAACTCTGTACGTATGTTATGTCGGAAGGAGGCTCCCCAATCGCTCAGAATGCCATATAATATCAACTGAGACAACACAACTGATTTTGATACAAAAATAGACTATGTAGAGACTAGGCTGCAAAGGACAAAAACTGTGTCATTTGATTTTTTAACAGTCACGTAATATACTCTATTTATTGCGTGTATACGGTGTTTTGTAGTTACTTTTATGTCTGCCACAACTTAACTAGACAAGACAACAAGACAACAACTAAGGGTAAACATTTTAGCTACGGTAAATATCCTTGGCAAATGCTTAAGGAAAAGGCGCTAACAAACAAAGTAGCGAAGCTCTGTACCTTAGGAACAATAATGGTAGCTCGGTTGTATGAACGATTAAACACTAGACCCTACCCGACCGTTGAAATGATTTCTATTGCGACCTTTATCCTCTAGTCATGGTGTCGCCCATGACTGCGCGAGTTTCTATTTAGTATGAACCAGTTTGGTAAACCGCTAAAACTTGTAAACATTAGTGCCTGGAGATTCCTGTGAACTTGGAATACCTTAAGGTAGATTATCTTTATTACTGGGGTGGAAATCATTCGAAGTTTTTCGCTTAAACACTTTTTCACAATTTGTCTGTGGCCTCCGAAGATACCTTGCTTCACAAACGAAACATCTGCGTGAAAATTATGATAACATGTACAACCATCAATCTAGCTGTTACCATACTGACACCAATGACTGAATAAATGTTTAACAACTTGACTGCCGCATGAGAGCTTTTCTTTAGTAACAACAACTTTGCATAGAGTTGACAAAGTTAGGCTATTAAAACTTCGCACCACTTGAAGTCACTGCGGGGTAAGAGTTGTTGATTGCTAATTTTTCAAAATGAATATGTATTCTACTTCATGAAATATCCGATTCCTTCCACGGTGTTAGTAATCACCTCTTGTCACCAGCCAAATTCGCGCATATTATAAAAACAAAGGCATAAATAATAAGACTGAACGGAAAAATCTCCGACGACATGTGAGTTTGCATGATTTAAGCTTCAGAAATCGAGTCTTGAGTGAACGATTCGTTAAGGAAGTTTTAATCGCCATACCAAACACAGAATCGTTTTTAAAATTGGTAAGTCTTGCTATTACAATAGAATGTTTCGATTCATTTTCAATTACATTTTGATGCATTTTTAGTTGGGGTCGATGAAATGGCGATGAATATTGGTCACTTGCTGATAAATAAGACCATACTTATGATAAACACTGGTTCACATTCGATGTCATGTTTTTGTTTTCGCCGAACTAAAGCGAATTGATGGAATTCCATTTTTTACCGCTCACAATCTTTGTCCAAAGGTTACCGGTAATTTGTTTGTTATCCTAATTATACGATTATGTAAGATTCCCTGTAATTAGTTGTAAAACAACTGGTTGTTATATTCTAGCTAGCATTTCTTAATCCAAATAACTACTACACGATGTGTGCTCGAGTAATAGATTATTTATCTTAATATGTGTGATATACTCTACTGATTTCCTCAGTTGCTTATGTTGAAAAATTTCGCCCTTCGATGCAACTTTATGGTGTCGACAAATTCCTCAGATTTGCAATAACACTCGAGAGGGGGCAATAAGTTATTGAACAATGAAATTTGACACAATGAGAATAAGTTTAAAAAGCCAAAATTAAGTGCTTGTACTTTTCTCGTTTCATTGCATCGTTCAAAGAAAATCGATTTTTTTTTAACGAAGGGGAGGTAAAATTTAAACCCAACACAGTGTTGTGATACTGACAATTTTCTTATCAATTATAATGCGATAACTGAACCTGTTCCTTACGCTACTTAAGGTGTTTATATTAAATAGCTCAGTTTTTTTTCCCGAAACCAGTACAATTGAGAACACGAAGTTAACAGTTTAGGAAAGTCTGACTGATCGAGAGGTGCGAAGTCAACACGAGAATCCTCGGCGTCACTTGTGGTTTTTTCTGATTGGATAACAAAGAATCGGAAACTAGTCGGCTACATATACGACAATCCCCGAAACTTCTCCGTATTTGATTCTATAGTTTAGTTTGACTTTCTTCACCTAAAAAACATTCCGCCTCGAAATACCGCTCAAGGCACAGAGTTATCAAGGTCTTGTTTTCCAACAAACGATTGCTGGCTTGTGATCGTGAACAACAAAATATGATCTCAATTCGGTTCGCAGCGGGACTTACTTCATAATATATGCTAGTTCAGTGATATTATCTGTGGTTGCCCATAAAACTCTCACTGTGAAATGTTGTACTGGAAAGCTTTTGACATCCTTTCAAACCTCAACACCAATTTATTTTAAAACGTTTTACTACAAATAACGTTTATTCTTATGTCTCGCTGCGAGTTTTTTTTCGCCTGTGGTTATGATTAAAGCTTATTTTACAAATATATATATTTGTTAGTACTTGAAAACATATGTTACAGCAAAAAGTCGTTTTTTAATTAGCGTTATCTTTTAGAGCTTTTAGTGAGGGACATCTTGTCTCGTGTTTTGTTGTTCGGGCTTTTAAGGTTAATCACATGGTTCCCTTAAACTTAAAAACAAATTCTATTTTTTGATAACCTTGGTTGATAACTAGGGCGGACGGCGAAACTACACGTATTTATCAATGAAAATCAAATAGTTGAAGGTATTATTATCCTTTCAGTCGAGTTTTTTACAGGTAAACAGATATAATTCTAACAATAAAAATCTCCTGCGAGTGCATAACTGTAAGATCGAATATATTCGTCATTAAAAATATCGTTTTATTATCATCACGTGAGTATCTCAGATTCGCAACTCCCACTCTGAGACTCAGATTCACTCTTTTTTTTTCACCTTCTTTACATGTAAGCGTACTCCTCCACATTTCAAAACAACTTCACCACAAGCTACTGAGTAGCCAGCAAATCCATTTATATCAGATAAACCCGGAATAATGGAAAAAAAAAATCATTGAGCTTGTTTTGAACGCTTGCAAAATCTAGCAAACATGGTAAACAATCTTTCGCTAGAACTCAATACTTTCCGTGATGCGTGAAAAACTTTTTTTGTAGTGAGCGTTGATTAATAATTAATTGCTTCAAATGACTGTCAAGATCATTGCTAAAATAAAACGGCCACAGAGCAATTTTTGAAGAGCAATACATTTTTTATCAATTTGCGTGTTTTATAGAAAGCCCTAAGAAGTAAAATTCGTGCTAAAAACTATTTTAAATCCCGTTTGGTTTTCTTTTATCTAAACCGCATTGGAAATATCGACAAGAGAGTCACGAGAGACGGCCCATTCTCTATATAACTTTCAGCGTATAACATACATTGCTCACGTTATTGTTCATGAGTTTCAGAGTCGCAAGCTTATCACTGCCTACCTTTGTTCTCATTTTCTTTAGGTGTGTATGTGTCATTGCTGGTGAAGAGGAGATAAAATGGACGACGAGGCTGGTGACGGGAGAATAACGGTCAGCATTGCGAAGCGCAAACTTGGCGGTGTTGGCTTTGTCACGAGTAGACGCAGCGCGAGTCCGTACCTCGCCGTGTCACACGTTGTCAAGGGAGGAGTAGCGCACGAGACAGGCTTGATTCAGACTGGAGACGTCATTCTCGAAGTGAATGGGAAGTCCTTGGAAAGCGTGCCTTACCACAAGGCATTGGAAATTCTCGACAAAGTTCCCACCGGCGAGGAGATGGTGATACAAGTGCGCGCCAAGGACGGATTCCGAGCGTATCTGGAAACGGCCTTCGATGACAAAGGTGCTGTAAAAACTGTGCGAAAGACGAGAGCAACATCTCCTTCCAAAGCTCTCACGAACATGAACAGCGAGTTGAATGGAGAAGCACACGAGCCAAAAAGCCCCAAAAGGAAGCCAGCTTCGACGAATGGACAAGACACAAGGAAAGAACAGCATGTTGTAAACGAAGTGCTGCCGACCCCAACAATGTCTAATGGCGGACTGGATCATGATACCAGAGCGTGTGAAAGCGGAATACTCAGCGCGTCCAGTGAAATTAAAAAATGTCCGGTGACAAATTTCATATCAAAACCCCAGCAGCCAAAATACGTCAGATTGCAAAACCTGCTTGACGGCCGGTACACGACTGACACACTTCATCAAAAGGCCATAGTCGTAAGTTAGAAATTTCTTGTTATTACTAATGATTTGCGTCTATGCAACTAATCTTTTTGGTTTAAAAAAGTTGGTAATGAGGTCAAATGTTTTACCAACAGCTCGAAGCAGGACAAACGGATGGATTTCTCACCATGGTTCGGACGTCACTGGCTTTGGCACTGAAGGGATTTGATGCGCGTCAAAGTTAGAAAAAAATGTGACGCAAGTCAAAGCACCTTTACCACATCTTTGATAAACGTGAAAGGTGTACTACCTTTGACCAAAATCAAAAAAGGCCTTTACCAGATTTGATTTACAGTTAAATTAATCCAAGATCACTCGAATCATGGTGCATCAAAGGAACCGAAGAATCCTTACCCAGAGTGGACTTTTCGACCTCATGATCCTATTGATCTTGGATTAATCTGTTTTGTAAAGAAACGCAAAATCCGTTTTTATGATCTTGGATTTTCCCAAAGAAATGCACCCTAGGTCAAAGGTAGATGCGAAGGGCGATTTTTCGTGCAGTGCGCCTACTAAACTTCACTAATTTTTTTTTATTTTTCGTTAGCTTGAAGCGATAAAGAAAAAAACTAACACGGCTGGTCTTGGATACTGAACGACTTTCTCTGCTTTAAAATTAACGGGTTTCTTAAAATTAAAACGTTTAAGTTCATAACGCGCTTGTTTGCTTTACACATGTACATTCTAGTTTTTTTTAAGTTTCCTCTTTGAAAAACATACATCCCAAGACGGCTAATTCCTGAATTCACCCGATAGTCTTCCTCTAAAAAATTCATTTCAGCAAATAGTTTATAGAGAAACTTCATTAACATGTCATTTTACGTTGACATGTTAATAAAGTTTATTCGGCGCACATCCATCCTTCCTTTGCGGTTTGAGGGATGACCTGGCTTTCTGCCTCCTACGCAGGCGCTCTTTAGGATCGTCACGCAATCTTCCTCGCCCACGGGAGGACGATCGCGTGACTTGCCCAAATATGGTCTGCGTAGGAAGCTAGGCTTATGGACGTCACGTTCGTTGGAGGAGTAAGTAAATTGCCTTGAATTTATTCCAGACTGTAGTGCTATCCTATGACAAGCATTCATTATCCCAAGCAAAGTTGATTCTGATATTCTATCTTGAACTAATGCTCTTGATTGCGCCTTTAGCCCATGAGCTGCACATCTGGCCGCTGTATGGGTTCCTTGATGATCCCCTATGGAGGAGAAGCTCCACCCAAGAGGCTATATGGTGTACCAAGAGAACCAGAGGAAGTCAAAGTTCAGGCTAACGACTTCCTTCGGCAATATTACGGAGCCATGAAACTGTAAGTCACAGAGATACACATACCCTAAGAACGTGATTTCATGTGACCGGTGGCGAAAGAGGAAAGCTGAAGCAGTCGCGTTAAGAGTAGCCTGATTTACCACACAGTCCAATTTCGTGACTTTCCCTTTTCGGAAATTTTTTCGGAGATCTTCGGAAATCTTCGGGTGATCCTATAAGAAATTGTCTTTGATCGGACAAATTTAGCCCAGCGTTTGACAAGTCCGACAGGATTAGCAGGTTCTTTTTTTTAGATGGGAATCTCACTAAGTTCATATTTCCGTTCATTTATTTAGTGTTTTTCCTTCTGTAGTGAAGACAGTCCAGCCCATAAGCAGCGTTTGGCAGAAGTGATGAAGGAGATCGCAAAGAACGGAACCTATGACCTTACGGAAAAAGAACTGATCTTTGGATGTAGAATGGCTTGGAGAAACGCCTCAAGATGTATTGGACGAATACAATGGAATAAACTTCAAGTAGGTTCTTTTAACTCACAGTTAGCATGTCACTTTTGCAGCGTTCAAATTAAACTGAAAATAATAGTTTGGGAAGTACACGGCCAAAGGGATGAAGGTTCACTGTAACAAAATTTCTAAGCTAACTTAAAAACGCTATTGAGGGGCACTCTCGTTACATTGATTTTTCTTCTGTTTCAGGTCTTCGACGCTCGACATGTTAACACTCCTACAGAAATGTTCGAAGCGATATGCAAGCACATAAAATACGGCACAAATAAAGGAAATCTCAGGTGATCCTAGAAAGTCTGGCGACACTAAATAACTTGCCGGCTGCTGTCTTATGCTATAACTCACTGAGAACCTCTCGGGGAGTAGTATGATCCCTTGAAAATTTCACTTTTTCCCCTTGTTCCCTATTAATAAATTCCACTGTTCCCTAAAATTTTTTTTGTAAAAGTTCCCTCGGTTAGTAGAGATATCCCTTGTTCTCTGAAATGAATCCCCAAAATTTCCTTTGTTCCCTTGAAATAAATGATCATGTTCCC